TCATGACACTTTTTACTCAATGTTCAGATTTATCTTAAAATAATTAAATCTAAAAATCTGTTGCCACTTTAAAAATTAAATTTATTTGAAAATTATCAAAGTGATATCTACCTATAATCAGTATTGAAAAATCGCACTTGGCCATAATGATGTTTAGCTTCAATTGTCAACTTGACACAACTTAGATTCACCGAGGAAGAGAGTGTCAATTAGGATTTGTCTATACTGGGTTTGCCTGTGTGTCCTGAGGGGTACATGTTCCTCTGAGGGGCACGGCTGCTGCAGAGAATTGGCTGCGGAGAGTTAGCCACAGACGGAGGAGTGTTGGCACAGTCTTGGAAGCAGGGGTGTGGAAAATCATGGCGCCGGTGGCTCACCTGTGTGGATGTGAGAAGAGGCATTTACTGACTTGGGCAAGAATGTGGGCCCATGAGGCATGAGTGAAAGCTAAAGGAGACTGTGGGTGGGGCATGGAAGTGATCTGGAATGGTGGGCCACTGAGCCAAAGAGTGGAATGGGGATCCAGGTGTTCGCCTTTGTAAGTTAATCTAGTTCCCGTACCCAGGATATAAAATATGGAAAAATTCAGACAAAGATGTGTTATGTGGTTTGTCTAGCCACATCAGGAGCATGAGACACTGAAGAGAGTGAGGGCAGGTCAAACAGAGAGCAGGAAAGAGAAAATTTAGTGGTGTTTGTCTAATAGCTCCAGGAGCAAGGGAGCCTAAGAGAACTCGGGCGACAAGTTGGCACAGTAGGCAGGATGGTGATGCTAGGAATGAAAAACCACACGAGTTTGGAAAAAGCTGGGAACTAATGGCAGCATTGATGTGGATCTCGCAACGGATATAAAATATGTAACTAAAAAAGAAGCTGGCCACGCAGAAGCATGGGCCACAGCTCTGTTGTAAATATGGGGAAATAGCCCAGTTGTGGGTATATGAAAATTTGCTAAAGGTTATAGAAAGGCTAGAAAAACTTTTACAAGCCTGGGAAATAAGGAGAGAACACAGAAGTCATGGCCACTTTGCATAATAAAAGATTCACCCAAGGCAGGGAAAGCTGAAAAGGCTAGGGAGGTCCTGGCAGATCCAGTTGCAGAACTTGTGAGAGAAAAAAAAAAGGGGGGGGGGAGCAGATAATAATGAAAAAGGAAATGACCTAAAAATGAAAGTGGCTGAGGCTGCCCCTCAGATTCAACCTTTGACATAGAAAGGAAAGGAAGTTAGTAGCACTGTAGCTAAGAAATATTCCACACTGGAACTGTTAAAACTAGGAAAAACTTACAAGAAAGCAATCCAAGAGCCCCTCACCACATGACTAATGAGGGTATGGGACATAGGAGCAAATAACGTCAGTCTAGCTTCACAGCTGAGTTATATAACCACCCGTCCATCCTTGCAATATATAGGCTCTTCTACCTAGGCCAATGCCAAGGGGATCAGTCCTTAATGGGGTGGCTGGTTGGAAGCATTAAAGATATGTGGAGGACTACAAAGAAGGGACAGAGATTACTGAGAGAACTAGGTATGAGAAAAGCAATATATGATGTCCAGTTCATTGGGCCAGATAAGTCTGTGTTCACCAGAGATATAAAGGAAATCTTTATTCAACTGGGACCTTGAGAATGGTATGGAGTTTTAATGGTTTTGCTAAGCCCTTTAATAGGTCAGGATCTTTGCAAAGTGATATATGCTTTAGCAGGTTTAAGTGACTCTGACCAACATGTAAAACATGTCTGGAGAATAACAGAGCACCCTACAAGAAATATAAAAAAGACCAGATGGAAGAAATGGTCCATTTGGGTTACTCAGAGACAAATGTGGCAAGACTTATGTTGAGTCCAAATTCCCAGAGAAAAAAATTGATAGAAAACCAAATTCGATAATAAGGACTTTCTGGAAGGTTTAAAACTAGAACAGTTTAAAAAAGGCATTCAAAGGATAAAAATTGTCCCAGGGGTGGTTAAGGATCCCCAAAGATTGAATAATGTGTATTTCTTTCCTGATAAAAGTTATACTAGGGGTGGAGGCTGTTTATCCCACTGAGGGCTCTCCCAGCACCCAGGTATGATCAATGGAGAGATGACAGATGTGGCTACAGTCAGGAGGCAGGCCCAAGGCCTGCCTGACTCAGAGAACCAACAAGTGCAGTGGGTACAAGAGAAACTCCCTGCCTCCTTAGCCCAGTGCAGGGACAGGCAACTGGAGCCAACATCTGTAAGTGTATCAAAGATAAAGGAATACAAAGGGACCCATGTAAGATCCCCAGAATGTGGAATGACTCTCAAGGGATAACTAAAGATAGTAAAGAACTAACTGAATTAATGCCTCTTACACATGCTATGGTACGTAACAAAAATCCATGGAGAAAACAGTTAATATAAATGGATAAAACCTTTCTTTGCTGTGTTAAGCCTTGTCTATGATTGATTTAATATATGATGTTAACCTTCCTTCAAGTGTTTACAGATGTGAAACCCATTTGAAAGATAACTGAAGAAACAAAGGCCAGCTATAACTGTAAGATTCTTGGAAGATTTATGGTTGGGTAAGATAAAAACAGAGGTTCCCAAACTATACAACTGTTAAGAAAATCTACAGTACCAGGAGTGTGTTGCTCCCCTATGAGTTGTTGGGCAGAGAGAGATCCTAGAGGCCCTCAAATTCCCCAAGGCTATTGTCACTAATGTCAGTTGTGTCCTAATAAGTTTGGTAAGGCCATGTTGCTGAAGATACAGCATGATAGGAGGGTGGAAGGAGAAGAAATGATGGATCTGAGAGTAAGCCAAAAACTCTATGCCACTGGATGGATGGCATTCATAGTACCAGAAGGTTCTATGCAGATGATTGGGGAAGAAAGGATCCCCTGTGATTCTACTCAACAATGGACCCCACATGCTGCACACTTTGGACATGCCAAGCAATGCTTGCAAGTACAATAATGGCTCAACTAACGTACATAGAAATAATTGGATAAGACCCATTCCTAGGGGTGGAACACACATCTGGTGCTGTAGACCAGGCCAACCCCCTGTGTCAAAAAAGGCTACAGGCCCTAGCAGGGAAACCATTGCAAGTATACTGTTTAATGAATATAGTACACCTATTGGGATATCCTCTAGGCATTTGTATTTACATTCATGTTTGTTTAGATGTGTCTACTTCCTTGCATTTGTCTTTAAGGTAGAAGAAACACCACTGAGATAGATAAATGGCCACAGCTTGAAGAAGAATAATATGGAAGCCCAAGAAGTCACTATCTCACCATGATAAAAAAGAGATCGCCCTACAACCGTGACCCCCTCCAAGGCTCAGGAACCTTAGCAGAAGATTGGTGGAAAGATTGTAAGAGCCAGAAGAAAGGGTGGAGTGTGTTCTGAGAGGTACTTGCTCTTCCGAAGGGTGGGGACTGCTGCAGAGGATTGGCTGAGAAGAGTTAGCCACAGAGGGATGAGCATTGGTGCCATTTTGGAAACCAGCGGTTTGGAAAAAATGGCACCGGTGTCTCGCCTGTGTGGATGCCAGAGGAGGCATTTACCCACCTGGGGCAAGACCTCAGGCCCATGAGGCATGAACAAAAGCTAAGGGGGACTGTGGGCAGGGTGCAGAAGCCATCTGGAATGGTGGGTTGCTGAGCCACAGAGCAGAACAGAGCACTGGGTGTTCACCTTTGTAAGTTACTCTATTTCCCGTACCCAGGATATAAACTATGAAAAATTCAGACAAAGATGTGTTATGTGGTTTGTCTATCCATGTCAGAAGCCTGAGACCTTGAAGAGAGTGAGGGTGGGTCAAACATCCAGCAGAAGGAGAAAATTTAGTGGGGTTTGTCTAATAGCACCAGGAGCAAGGGACCCTAAGAGAACTTGGGCGACAGCCTGTAAGCATGTCTGTGGGGAATTTTCTTAATTAAGGTAATTGTTATGGGAAGTTTATTGTTATAGGTAGCATTGTTCCCCAGGGAGCTAGCCTGGAACAATGAGTGAAAATACTGAGCTGAGCACCAATAAGCAAAGAAGTGAGTTGCATGTATTTATTCTTTCGACTTTTAACTAGGGATAAGATATGACAAGATGTCCTAAGTCTTGCTACCTTCTGTGACTTCCTTGCTATGATGGACTGAATCCTGAAGTTGTGACCTCAAATAAGCCTCCCCCTTGTTGCTTTTTCGTCAAGATATTTTATCACGGTAACAAAAATGAAACTAGAGCACACATTGAAGGATTAAGTTTGTTATAAACTCAAATGAAGCAATACAACACCAATATTTTAACTGTATCTTCCTTATTATATTTATTTAAACCTACAAGAATCACCCATTACATGCACACATGCAAAAAAACACATGCACACGTAAAAAACAGCAGCAGATCTCAGATTTTATGGTGTAGGTAACAAGTACAAAATTGAATATTAGAACAATTGGAAATGCTTATATGAAAATTATAACAAACCCAGAGAGATTATTGGCAATAACAATGTATCCTGTCTAGCTGTAAGCCTTGTATTTTAAATCATCTTTAACTATAAACAAGATATTATTTTATCCTTACAAATACCAAAAGTAAATAAGTACATGCTATCCAAACAGATCAATATGAAAAATAGTTTGTTTAAATGTTAATCCCTAATTTAAATAATTCATGCTTATTTCCTAACAAATGCCTTTACCCTAAAATTACCATGTGCATCACTTCATTCCTGGTAACAGTTTACTTTGAGAGGTTAAAGATACCTAAATGAATATAAGCATTGGCCATGTCTTATGGCTAACAATAGATGCCTAAAAATACCATCTCACAATAATAATGATATTTCCTAATTAGTAAAATATTGTGTGGTGCTGATCCTGTTTTGATTGTCCTAATGTGGCTCTTCACGCAAATTAAATAAGAGTTTATTTGTTATGATCCAAAATATACTGTAATAAAGAAATGTAGGTATGAATACAGGCACGCAGATGTAAAATGGTAGGCTAGGAAAGGAATGAGCCTTTACCTTACAGGACTGTTGGAAGAATCTGGGTCATGAGCAGCTACAGTGCCAATGATATTACCCACTTGTGTAGCTTCTGAAACCTCCATGGGGTACAAGGGTGAAGAAAATACAGGAGGCTCATCCACATCTTCGACAATTATCTTCACAGTTGTTGTGTCACTGAACGGCCCCAAGCTTAGAAAGCGGGGATCGGCATCTTTATTTGCAGCTTCTATGCGTAGTGTATAACTTGTTTTGGCTTCAAAATCCAGTTCCTGTAAAGAAAGTTATTAGAGAAAGTTAATTACCAGGTGGCTAGTCAGGAAAGCACAGTCTTTTCATTTATGAATGTCAATAAACATACAAAGGTCTCTGACATGAACATGCACCATCAGCTTTCAAAAAGAAGCATTCACACCAATCAGAATTATAGTTACTCTTCTGGCTCATGTGCAAAGATAAGTGCTTTTGAGATAACTTAATCTATTCTGCTGCCACACTTTGTTTGGATAGATATAAGTCTTCAGAATATTGTTTGAAAGACATCTAATCTGATTTAAAAAATATTTTCACATAGCATATCAAGGTAATATTATCAAAAAATATATTCAAGATTTTTACACAAAAATATACACTAAAATGGAAGAAAAGTCTAGTTTACATTCAATATTTTTCTCAAAAGATGAGTAAATTAGTAAATTATGGGTTAATATTTACATTGGGTTCCCAAGCCCCCAGGTGCTCAAAAGGTAGCTTCAGAGGCAGGGAATATATTGAGATTGTGCAGACTGACAGTACAGCTGGTTCATTTCCACGAAGCTCCCATAGCTTTTGCCTTCTTTATCATCTCATTAATGAAGACAAAAGTTCTCTATTCATATTAGATGCCTGATATCTATTTTTCAGAATCTTTACTTTGTTTTTGACTTTCTATGAGGAGTAAAAATGCTAAAATATTATTCAGAGATAGCCACTAATTTGAGAAGTTCACAAGGAAAATTAGATATTTCACTTAGAAAAAATTATGTGAGAAAATAAGAATTGTATGTATAATATGAAGGTTTTTTGGAAAAACAGCATGCTTCTCTTTCTCCAAGGGATACTGAGAATCACAGTTTTTCATGTCTTTTAATTTCAATCTCACGATTGAAAAACAAAAAAACAGCCTTCAGATACATCTACTGATGCTATAAATAGGAAGACTTAAAAGGAATATAGAACTAAATAGAAATGCTGTCAAGTACAAAAGACATTTTACTTAGGTGCAATATTTAACAACACACACAAAAAGAAAAAAATTATATACCACTTAATGCAAAGACAGAATGAAAATTCATCTATCCGCTGTACATAAGGGTATATCTTTGGGAACATACTTGGGTATGCAGACACATTTAATCATCTCCAAAATGATGTGAAGTCAATCAAATGTATTTTAAACATATTTGTATAACTGTAAAATGTGCTAGCATATTTTATATACATATATACTGTATTCTATATATAATATATGATAGATAGATCATATATTAAGCAATGGCATTTAATGTATGATAGTTATACACTATATAGTACGTATTGTAATATATACTATACTGCATGTAATATATACTACATTTTATATAAAATATACTAGCACAGTTATACACATAGATGTACCATACATGCATACACATGATACAACAATTGTAACAAAGAGATTCTGTGACCCATCTCTGGCTAATACAAAGGAAAAATAGTTTAACTGATGTACAAAAATTCTTTGTAATATCTACACCAGACCATTCTTACAGGAATCCTTCTCTAAGGTCTTTGTCATGCACTAGGTTTCTACCTGCTTGTTTGGCTCTGTGTCATTTCTGTTACCTATTTTTCTATAAGTGTGTAGAAGAGGTTCAATAAATACATGCTGAATTTGAGCAAAAGTTCAGAATTATAGCACAGATATTGATTCCATATTAGTCTCAAACTGATCTGTACCTTTGACCTGAGATTCGTGACAGCCCAAGTGGGAGAGGAGTGAAGATATACAGTGATTTATATTTTTATTCTTGACCACAGACAAGCTAAATAAAACAAAACTAACTTTTCTTAATTATGCCAATGAGGTAAATATAGAAAATATAAAATCATACCAGAGGTTTCACATGAAAATGCTGAGGCACAAGACAAGTAGTGCCATAAACGACAACTTGTTAGCAAATTCTGTGATGCTTTAATGAGCCAACTTTATCTTTATATAAATTTCATTTTTATTCAGCGTGTGTGTGTGTGTGTGTGTGTGTGTGTGTGTGTGTGTGTTATGTATATATTTGTGCATTCCTGCCAGGGTGCACAGATTGTGGTCAGAGGACAGTTCTGTGAAGTCAGTTCTCTCCTTCCACCTCTAGATGGGTTCTGAGGATTGAACTCAAACTCAGATGCTATGCTGCACTGCAAACAGTTTTACCCACTGATCCACCTCCTCGGCCACTGTTCAACTGTTTATAATCTACGAGTTAGTGGAGCTTAGAGATTCCTAGTCAGCGCTGAGAATCAGAACTGTCCAGCTCCTTCCAAGAGGATTAAATTCACCACACTTCTGATGTGTATGGGCATTTATGTTTTTAAGCAGCTCATCAGATAATCTGACACAAATCCTCTTTTAGACAAAGTTAACCTAGGTATTTTCTTAGGCCTGCATGTAAAATCCAGCATTTATTTGATGACAATCCTTAGCATAATCATGAATAGTTGGGATATAACCTTCCTTTATTTTCATATATTACGTGTAAAAGTATATAATCATAGTATCAAACTTACCAGGCAGCTACATTTTTATAGAAAAGAGCTATGTTTTTAGATATGTGTTAAAAATTCCATTTGCCATTTCTTAGTAAATAAATAAGAACTCCAAACTACATTCAAGTTACTTATTCAGAATTTCAACATTACAAAAGGAATCAAGTATTTCTATATTTGAGTAAAAGTTTGTCTCATTTATGAAAGTACAACATAAAATTTACAACACAACTGGATGCAATTATTTTGTGGCAACTTATTTTTAAGACAGGTTTGAAAGGCAGCAACATAAGGTATAGATATCTGAATGTTAACAAATAATATAGAAAGAATAAAGTATGAAGATAGTCTAACTAAAAATATTAAGGTTATAAATTAAGATTATAGACAAAAGGAAGTGTTACATAAAAATATTTACAAAATGCATCACAATAAGTTGGAACATGTAATGTTAAAAGGGGTGAATGATGTCATGGACAAGATTATTAAATAACTCAAAGAAAAAATTTAATCATTGATTTTTAATGATTTTTAATTCCTCTTTTTCTTCCCCATTATTGATTACTATATGAGAAATTCATCCTAAAACTATTAGATTCACTTATGATAATAATAGTTTGCAAAAGGAGGGAAGGCACAGAAAATTTAACCATCAGAATGTAGCTCTTAATAGAAAATAATAGGTAAGATTAATGAGACCTGAAATCCTAGGACTCATAAAGATGAAAATTAGTGAAGATTCCGAGCTATCTTGGGATGTATAGGTGCTGCTTAGTCATCTGTGGGGTGAAATTAATGTCAGAGATACAGTCAAAAGAGGGAAGCAGCTGGTTTGCTAAATCTCCCAAATTTTAAAAGAGAGACCTTCAAATTTCTCTAAGCAAGAATGATAAAATTTAATATTAAAATACAGTTGTACCTAAGGCAAGGGTCTGCCACTTTTCTATAAAGGGCCAGATGGTAAACATTAGGCTTTGCAGACCATGTGTTCCCTGCCATGTGTGAAGTAATGAGCATAGTTGCACACTAATGATTCTTCGTAGAAAAGAAACTGAGAATCATAGTCTATGTAATGACTTTTTCAATGATTTAAAGTTGTAAAAACATCTATAGCCCATAGGTTGGATAAAACAAGCACACAATGGTTTGACAACCTCTTAGTAAAGAGGCTACCAGTAAAGAGGATAACCTGAGGCCTTCTCAAGCTGCCACTAAATCATGTTTTTAGACTAAATGTTCAGGTCTCTTCAAGTGCATTTGCTACAATTAAAATGAACTATTTACATAAAAAGCACGCATTGCCTCTTCCCTCACGTATCACCTCATGTTTCCTCTTTCTCATGTAACATTTTTTTTTTTTTTTTGCCTTTTATAGAAAATATCTGAGGGGCTGGAGAGCTGGTTCAGCAGTAAAGAACACTGGTTGCTCTTGCAGAGGACCCAAGTTTGGTTCCCAGCACCCACATGGTGGTTCCACACAACAGGGGTGCACTTACATACATGCAAGCAATACACCCATACACATGAAATAAAAATAATAAATATAAGAGAAAATATTTTAAAGACCATCTTCTTAAAGAATGCTTCTCTCATCCTCTTATAAGGTAAGAATAAAATTACTTTATATCAAGAACCACCTATGAAAGCTTGGTGTGGTGGCAAGCACTCAGGAGGCAAAGGTAGGCAGACCTCTGTGATATCAAGTTCCAAGCCAGCTGTGGGCTACAGGGAGACTTTGTCTCAAAAATACCAAAATAAAAATAAAAAAAAACAAGCAAAACAAACAAACAAACAAAACAACCAACCAACCAACAAACCGCCTATGATTACTAAGTAAATTTCTTACTATCTCTTTTCTAGGATGCACTTATTACCCGCATGCAAGTTTGTTAATGTGGGAGTAGGTATGCATGAATGCAATTGCCTGAGGAGGCCAGAAGAGGGCACTGGATTTCCTGAGGCTGGAGATAGAGGTGGTTGTGAGATGCCCTTCCTGGGGGCTGGAAACTGAACAGAGGTCCTCCCCAAGGGCAGCATCTGCTCTTAAGCACAGAATCACCTCTCCACCTCCTTTGTTCATACCTTTAGCATGCATTTAAATAAATAGAAGGTAAATACTTCTTTGGGGGTGATTATTCATATCCCTTTAAACTCAAGTTGAAATTATAACCCCCTAGGTACTGGGACAAGGGCTTTGATTAGGTTCTGAGATTAGGTTCTGAGGGTGGTTCTCATGTTCATTGTGTGCTTAAGAATGAAACTCCATACAGTTTTCTACTCGGTTTGCTATGTGCAGGCACAGAGACCAGAAAACAATCTATAACCAGCAAGAAGGTCTTTTTCAGGAACCTATTCTGCCTTGCCTTCGGGTTGCTCAGTTTCTAACTTTTCAAGAAATATGTTTGTGTTGTTTAAACACCATCCTAAATTATTTTCATTTTGCCAAATGAATTGACTTATGTTGTATTTTTAACAGATGTAAAGGCTAAGCAGT